TAGAGGTGCTGTGGGATGTAAATGACACGCGTGGGCAGCCCGAGCACAGCTGCTCGTTCCTGGTAATTGCAGGATAGGATAGCTTATGTGGTGTCGGCTTTATGACCACCCCGTGTAGACTCTCAGTGCTCCAAAGGGATGCCTTGTGGTTTGGAGGTGGGGTTCTCACTTTTGTAAATACCCAAGGATTGTGTTATTGGGCCCTTCTGATTTGAATCTATTCTTTAGAAAGTACGTATTGTAGATATGTTTTTCAAGCATGCATGCTTTTATTCTTATATTATTTATAGCTCTACCCTCTAATCTCTTGGTGTGACTTTTCATGGAATCCAGGAAACAGTCCTAAGCTACCTGCCTCTTCACACTTTTCTTTGGTGGTTTTCTTCCCTGACTAGAAGAGGGTTTTGCATAGGAAATTATCTTTGTTCCACTTTTCTTGGAGTCTCCCTGTCTGTCTGTCCATTTCTCACCTGTCCGTCTGTCCATTTATCTACCCACTCATTCTTCTGACTTGTTCCAACGATCATTTCAGACAGCTTACAGAATAACAGATACCAAATAAACAGGTGAGAGAATGGGGCCAAGTTCAGACATTGAGGCTAGGAGGCGAGCCTGTTTGAGGGTTGCAGGCATAAGACACACGCCTCTGCCCGTGACTTATAAGATCGACAGTAAGAGTGTACCTGAGGTTCCCAGCAGACACAGGGAAACAGGGTTTGTGGGAGATGTTCACTGGCTCTGAAATAAATATGTGGTTAGGAGAAGCCCAGCATTTCCAGCTAGTAAGTCTTACGAGAATATTTTGAGTGTCTTCCAAAATCAGAGTATTTCATCTTTTCTATTATGAAAGTTCTGTGTATAGTTGGTTGCATTCTATACCTGGAAATTTCTCCAAAACTGCATCCCATGTGAGTCCCATGGTTCGGGAATGGGGGGGATTGCTCATTGATGGGATTTGGCCAGAAACATAAAATCACAGCCTCCAAGAAGCCAGGGATTTGTCAGTTATGTTTTGTCAGTGCTGTAGATTTAAGAAAATGCTTTCAGTTTCTCTCCATCTGAGG